TGATTAGATTCTGTAGTGTATAAATTGTACTGCTCCATTCAGTAATAAGACAATGAGGAAATCCTTCTCTGATTCAAGCCTTCATACCTTAACAGTGGTATCAGAGCCTACCTTCTCTCACGAGATCTCTGATCCTATGGCTACTCGTGATGAAACTCCCAACTCAGCAGCATCCAAACACTCGGCCGTAACCATGCTAGAACCCAACATCACCCGGAATCCAATTTCCTTTAACTCTGCGGCTTTTCCCGTCAAACTCACACCCAACAACTATCTCTCCTGGAAAGCTCAGTTCGTGTCGCTTCTTGGAGGCTATGAACTTGATGGTTTTCTTGACGGATCTCATCCTTGTCCTGTAGCAACTGAGCCCACTTACAGTCTGTGGGCACGCCAGGATCAGCTCCTCCGTCATGCCTTAATTACCTCTGTTTCAGAGAACATCACCCCTTACATAGCTGCCGCTGCCACTGCACAGCAAGCCTGGGAAACCTTAGCCAAGCTTTATGCCAATCGCTCTCGCACACGGGTCATAACCCTCAAGGAACGGCTCCAAACCATGAAACGTGATGGTCGTCCAGTCTCTGAGTATCTTCGCTCTCTGAAAACTGTGGCAGACGAGCTTGGCACCGTGGATCGTCCACTTTCTGATGATGATCTCACTGTTTATATACTCAATGGACTAGGACCGGAGTTTCGGGAAATTGCTGCATCCCTCCGGACTCGGGACTCATCTCTTTCTTTTGACGATCTGCCATCACCACCTGCTGTCTCCGCTGTGGCTCCTCATGAATCTTTGGTTCACGAAGCTGTACCTCCTGCAACAGTCCGGACCTCCCAACCTTCCTTTACCTCACCAACCCGCCCAGCCTCTGCTCCTCCATCCGAATCCCAGCAGCCATACGCACCCACCTCCATCGCTTCCCCACCTCTCCCTCCACACTCCCCTGAGCCTATCATTGAGCCCGTTCCCCAACCTCAACCATTGCCACCTCCGGAGCCCATTCGAACTCACCCCATGCTTACCCGTTCTCAAAACAACATCTTTTAGCCTAAATTCATCCATCAGGCCGTCTCCACCTCTCCTGTTCCTATTTGTGAACCCACTTGTGTGACTCAAGCACTGAAAGATCCCAATTGGCGGAAGGCTATGTCTGAGGAATTTAGTGCTTTGGTTCGTCAAGGAACCTGGGAATTAGTTCCTTCTACTCCTGACCAGCACCTTATTGGTTGTAAGTGGGTGTTTCGTATTAAACGAGCCAAAGATGGTAGCATTGAACGCTACAAAGCACGCCTTGTTGCCAAAGGCTTTCATCAACGTCCAGGTTCGGATTACTCTAATACTTTTAGTCCGGTGATTAAGCCAACTACCATTCGCACTGTGTTGTCTATTGCTGTTAGCAGGAATTGGCCTATTCGTCAATTGGATGTCAACAATGCCTTTTTGCATGGACATCTTGAGGAAAAATTGTTCATGGCACAACCAGTTGGCTTTGTTGATCCTGCTCTTCCTCATCACGTGTGCCGGTTGCGGAAATCTATTTATGGGTTAAAACAGGCTCCACGGGCGTGGTTTCAGGAACTCAAGCAGTTTATTATCTCTCAAGGTTTCTCCCATTCTCGCTCCGATTCCTCTTTGTTTGTTTATCACCGGAATTCGACCTGGATTTATTTCCTTGTTTATGTGGACGACATCCTCATCACTGGTAGTGATCCCTCTGCTGTGTCTTCTCTGATAAATTGCATGAGTACCAGATTCTCCATTAAAGATTTGGGTACTCTTAGCTATTTTCTTGGCATTGAAGCAGTTCCCACCAGTGCAGGACTCTTCCTCTCTCAACACAAGTA